CCGAATCGGGCGCGGCCGCATGCGGACCCTGCCGCTGGGGCCTTCGGTGGAGCTCCCTATAGGGTCACGAAGCCTGTGAGGGGTGTGCCGAATGGAGTGCGCGACCGCCATGCGGACCGTGCTTCTGGGGCCTTCGGTGGAGTTCCCGATGGAGCCACGAAACGTGTGAGGTGTGTGTCGAATCGGGCGCGGGGCCCCCAGGCGCCTGCCGCTGGGGCCTTCGGTGCAGCCCCCTATGAGGCCACGAAACGTGTGAGGGTTGCGCGGAATCAAATACTAAACCGCCATGCGGACCCTGCCGCTGGGGCCTTCGGTGGAGCTCCCTATGGGGCCACGAAACGTGTGAGGGGTGTGCCGAATCAGATACGAAACTGCCCTGCGGACCTTGGCCCTTGGGCCTTCGGTGGAGCTCCATTTGGGGCCACGAAACGTGTGAGGGGTGTGCCGAATCGAGCGCGGGGCTGCCCTGCGGACCTTGGCCCTTGGGCCTTCGGTGGAGCTCCCTGTGGGGCCACGAAACGAGTGAGGGGTGTGCCGAACCGGTACGGGGCCGCCATGCGGACCCTTGCTGCTGACCCATTTGGTGGAGTTCACTCTGGGGCCACGAAACGTGTGAGAGGTGTGCCGAAATGGACATGCGGAGAGCAGAGGCAGGGATGGGAGGAGGAAGGAGGCGCGAGGAGAACGCGCGGCGCTGTCTTTCAAAACGAGGATCCAATACCACATGATGTCTGGGAAAATCAAGACATCGGATGTCTGGGTCGGCAGCACCGTGCGAAACTCTCTCCTCCACGCCGCGCCGCACTCCTCCACGCCTCTTGCCTCCTCCCCCGTTTCGGGCCCAGGGAGCTTTGGGCTCCCAGCAGAAGACGCCCTGGGGCCTTCGGGCCCGCGGGGTCTGGGCCTGGAGGTTCCGTTGGGGCTCGGGGCCAGGGTCGAGCCCGGGTGCGGCGTCGCAGCGCGGGACCCAGCGCGAGTCGCAGTCGCTTCGGCAGGGCATGGTTGCTGGGGTCCTCGATCCAAGCGCCTGCGCATGTGTGCGCGTGCGCGCGTGGCCGCTGCGCCTCGCGAGCTGGAAGAGCTCCCCGACAGCTAGCCGCTCCAGGGGTGGACCTAAACGGTGTTTTGGCGAGTTCGTGGGCCGTCTTCGTTTCGATATCGTTTTGCGTTAAAGGCGGATTAAAGACAAAACGAGGGAAAACGAAAACAAAACGAAAACGAAAAATGCCGTTTATGTTCAGCCCTGAGCTAGCCCCATTCAGAGGTCGGCCTGGCGAGGTCGCCCAGGGCAGGCCTTCTCGGGGCCAGGTGCAGAGGATGTCCAGGGGGGGAGGAGGGAGGCTGCGGGATGCAAGAGGGAGGAGGAAAAAGAGCAGGGAGGAGGAGGAGGAGGAGGAGGAGGAGGAGGAGGAGGAGGAGAAGGAGGAGGAAGAGGAGGGAGGCTGCGGGATGCAGGAGGGAGGAGGAAAAAGAACAGGGAGGAGGAGGAGGAGGAGGAGGGAGGTTGCGGGATGCAGGAAGTGGAGCAGAAGGAGCAGGGCCAGAGTAACCCCAAGATGCGCCAACGAGGCTGCATCAGTCCCCTCCCCATACGTCCCCGCAAGTTTCGCCCTTCCACTTCAAGAATCGTCCTGGCGCCGGCGCCGGCGGGAGCAGAGCAGGAGGGGATTGCAGAGGATACGGTCATGACCAAGAACGCCCTCACCGCAGCGCTCGCGGAGAGCTGAGAGGCGAAGCAAAACAGCAACTTCGTCATTCCCGGTGTTGTCATGGCCCAGACCCGCCAGAAGAAGGCGACCAAGGTCGGGAAGCGCGAGATCTTCGGCGAATCGTCATGGAGAGGCGAAGAGCCAAGGCAATCGTGAAGGCCTTCCCCGCGAACGCCCCCAAGGACGAGTTCTGAGGGCCTCCGGGTCGGACCGAACTCTAATGTAAGGTTCACAGCGCCTCCTTTTGTCCGTCGGTTAACCGTCAGTTGCGGAGGCCTCCTCTCAATTATCTGCTGTATGTACTTCCATTCGATCCGTCTCCTTGAAAGACCAGCACCCTCTGGGCATGCCATTCAGGCGAGATTCCCAGTTGGAAGAGGAAGTGCCATGCATTTTGCTAGCAAGCCATTGGGAATTTTCAGAGGTATGATCGCACAGTTCAGCGAGTTGTCCAGCGGGATCCCCGCTTTGAAAGAGGAGCGCACCCATCTGTGGAATTCTCTCTCGCACAAGTTACATACCCTCCTCCTCCTCCTCGTCCTCGTCCTCCTCCTCCTCCTCCCCCTCCTCCTCCTCCTCCTCCTCATCCTCCTCCTCCTCTCTGGCCACGAGCGCCGAGGACGTCGCAAGCGAGAGCCCTACTCTGAGAAGGGGCCGCCCTCCCTCCGCGCAGGTGCACCGTACGCTCAAGCCTCGCATGAGTACGATCATGCAGTTCAACCAGGTGTCCAGCGAAAACGCTGCTTTGACAAAGGGCCAGCCTCCGTTCTATACACACTGGTTGTTTCTATGTCTTCGAAAGTTCTTTGCTTTTTTCGGGGCAGCTCCTTGCATTTCTAATTGTTATATCCTGGGCCTCTTCCTGGCCATCAGGGGGCCAGGAACAATTAGAAAGGCACGATTAGAAATGAACGATGTGTACCATCATACAGTTCAACAACGTGTCTAGCGAAAGCTCTGCTTTGACAAAGGGCCGCCCTCCTTTCTGTAACCCTTGCACAAGGTTGCACTTCTGGTCACAAGCGCCGACGAACTCCGCGCAGCTGCACGATACGTTGCAGCTCCGTCTGCTTAAATGCAGAGCAGCGCCCCAGGCGAACGCCCAATGCTGGACAGGAACTGCCCGCCATCCGTGCAGCGGCTGCACCTGTTCAAGCTTATGTGCTGGTTGCTCGGCTAAGTTTTGAAACCGAAGGCCCAAGTGTGAAAAGGGAACGACCCATCCTCCCTGCAAGTGGTGCAGACCTTTCGGACGACTGCGCGCGGCTCTGTGGCGAGAGGCACACTTTGAGAACGGTCCGCGCTCCACCCTTGAGGTTGTTGCAAACCGTTTGTGGAACCGCATGCCCGCGGCGCGAAGGCGAGCGCTCCATTTTCAAAACGGCCCGCCGTTGTCTTGGAAACAGCTGGGAAGTTTTAAGACGAATGCGCACGTCAAACTTCAGGATCAGAAGTGGTGAGGAGGTCTCAGGCGAAACAGCCGGCGCGCCCTACCGACACGTCGGGGCGTGCTACAGGGAAGAGTTGTTTAGAAGGAGAAGGTATGGAGGAGGAGGAGGAGGCGGAGGAGGAGGAGGAGGAGGAGGGGGGGCAGGAGCAGGAGCAGGAGTAGGAGGAGGAAGAGGACGCGACGAAGAAGATACCAGATGATGTGATCACCTGGCACAGACAAAGTGCATGAGGGGGAAGGAAAAAGGCAGCGGAACCGAGCGAGGTAAGATGGAGAGCAGGAGGTAAGACGGAGAGCAGGAGAAAGGGGTGGCCGATGCGAAAAGGACATCCCTATTCCGTTCGTTTCGTGCCGCTTGTCGGATAATGGGGACGAGTTTGAAGGCCACAAGACAGGCGGGTGGTGCTTCACAGCACGCGCGTGTGATCCATCAGGAGGCCTTGAACTGCCGAGGCAATCCCCGAGACCTGGGCCACAGTGCGACGTGGCGCGATCGTCCCCCGCCCTCCTCCCTCCATCATCCTCCCTCTCTGTTCCTCCCTCCTCCTCATCCCCCCTCCTCCCCCTCCCCCTCGATACCCTGCCCCTCTTCCTCCCGGTTGAACTGTTGCTCCTCCTCCTGTTCTTCCTTCTCTTACTCTTCCTCCCTCCTTCCCGTCGACAAGTGCACAATGTCAATACTAAGCTCCTCTCTCTCTCCTGACTACGTCCTGGAAGTGTCCCGCCCTCTCCGTGCTTCGCATACATGATGCCAAAAGTGTGTTTGCCATATGGCTTCTTACAGTCAAAACGTCTTCGGTGTTTCAAGCAGTGTTCTCGCTGGAATGTTGCCCTCGTTTCGGGATCGGCACTTTGCTGCCGTCGTTCAGGGTGGCGCTCTCGCCCCGGCGCGGCCCACACTTCTGGATCTACGTGCTTCCTCGTCGTTGCCGCCTCCTTCCTCTCCCCATACCCCGCCTTCCCCTGGTCCTCTTGCTCCTCCCGTTCCTCCTGCTCCTGCTGCCGGTGTTCCTTCTCGTCCCCATTCCTTCCTCGTTGTCCTTCTCTCCCTGCTGCTCATCCGCCACCTCGTCCTTCAGTGTACGCAGCTCCCGTGTTTCTAGATTCGCACAGCACGATCGGGTCTTCTGGGGGGGGGGTCCAGGTCCGCTATATCTAACAACCGTCGACGGATGGAGGCCAACTCAGCGAAACGGAAGGGATGGGTGGGAGGGGTCGGATGTCAGATATGGCGCGAGCGCACCCTGCTTGCCTCCATCCCGTCTCCCTCTCATCCTCCTCCCCCCTCTCATCCTCCTCCATCCGCACTGGTCCATCCCTCCGATCTTGTTTCTCCGCCCCTCCTCCTCCTCCTCCTCCTCCTCCTCCTCATCGTCATCATCATCATCATCAGCAGCAGTAGCAGCATTATCATCATCAGCATCAGCGTCATCATTATCATCATCATGATCAGCATCAGCATAATCATCAGCAGAAGCATCGTCATCGGCATCATCATCGGCATCATCATCATCAACATGCTCATCATCATCATCATCATGATCATCATCATCATCATCATCATCATCATCATCATCATGATCATCATCATCATCATCATCATCATCATCATCATCATCATCATCATCATCATCATCATCATCATCATCATCATCATCATCATCCCTTTCACCTCCATCCCCTCCTTCCACCTCTTCCCCTCCCTTCCCTTCCTCCCTCCGCACCCTCCCGCCTCCCCCTACCCCTCCCGCCCTCCCCCTCCCGTCGATCCTCCTCCTCCTCCTCCTCCTCTTCTTCCCCCTCCTGCTCCTCCTCCACGTTCCTCGCTGCGACGGGCGCAGGTGGCGCGAAGCGGGCTGGCGGAGGAGCCCCGCCAGCGCGGATGGGTCCCCGGCCGTCGTCGTTGTTGTTGATGTTGTTGGTAGTGTTGTTGTTGTTGGTGTTGTTGTTGGTGTTGGTGGTGGTGGTGGTAGTGTTGTTGGTGTTGTTGTTGGTGGTGGTGGTGGTGTTGTTGTTGGTATTGTTGTTGGTGGTGGTACTGTTGGTGCTGCTGTTGTTGCTATGTTTGTTGATGGTGGTTGTGGTGTTGTTGCTGTTGCTGCTGAGGTTGTTGTTGGTGTTGGTGTTGTTGGTGGTGGTGGTGTGTGGTGTTGGTATTGGTGTGGTGGTGGTGTTGGTGTTGGTGTTGGTGTCGGTGTTGGTGTTGGTGTTGGTGTTGTTGCTGCTGTTGTTGTTGCTCGTTGAACTTGCCGGGAGAAATAGTACCCATGAGAGTCACTGTCCTCTCTTCTCGCTCGTCCTGCCTCCACCTCCTCTATCCTCCTCTCTCCTCCTCCTCCTTCTCCTCCTCCTCCTCCTCCTTCTCCTCCTCCTCCTCCTGCTCCTCTCCTCTACTCCTCCTCCTCTACTCCTGGGGGTCTCCAGAGGTCCCCAGGGCATCTGGCGGTCTCCGCTGGCGGTCTCCGCCGGCATCCAGAGGCCGCCAGAAGTTCGAGAAAGTCAGGACATATCCGACAGCCTCTGAATCCTCCCTCCTCCCCCCTTGATCCTCCCACCACCCCACCCCCTCCTCCTCCTCCTCCTCCTCCTCCTCCTCCTCCGCCTCCTCCTCCTTCTCCTCCTCCTCCCCATCTGCTAGGAGAGAGTCTTCTGCGAGAGAGGCTCCGAGGACTTCGCCAGGGACTGGTGGACCAAGGCGACCAGCCCGCGCGGCGGCGCGGCTGGCTGTTGATCATGCGGCGGCCCGGTCGGCTTTGGCCTTCTGAGGGCCCACATGAGTCAGACAATCTGCAGGCATCCGACAATGAGGGACCCACCTGACGATTCCTCGTTCCTTGGACATGGTGTCCCGCACAATCGCCATCTCGATGGCGCTGCACCAGTAAGCGTCCCCCCCCCCCCAGTGTTCTTGGAGAGGGTGTCCAACAGTGACTCGGCGTCCACTCCTGACACCACCTCGGCAGCACGCTGGATCCCACAGCTTCCCGGGAGGGCAACAGCAAAGGGCACAGCTTCTCGCCACCAGCTGGGCCCGCCCACATCGTCGGAATCAGCGTCCCGAAAACAGAGGTCTCGGCATCGCTCGGACGTGTGCATTTGTTCTTGGATCATCTTGCGAAAACGCGCGCACATACAAAACAAAGAAATACACAAAACCGAAAAATGCACGGGGAGTGGGCGTCCGAGAAACGCACGGCATCGGGTCCTGGGAGGCGATGCCCGTTCGGCACCTCGCTGGCGCGTCGGGCGGGCACCTTTTCGATAATTACGTTTCTCTGCGCGCTCGGTTTTTTTCTGGAATGTAGGCCTTGAGCACGATGGGGGCATCATAGACCTTGGCGCGTCGGCGGTCTTTCACTTCAGGTCCCCGCATCATCACAATTCACCCGCCCTGGGCCCCGTTCTTTTTGACTGAGCCTGTCGCTCCCGCATCTGGACAGGCAGCCGCGGTGATGGCCGACGATTCGAGGGGCCAGGTGGCAAGACAGACTTCAGCAGTGCCCCCGTTGACCATCAGCAGGCTCGTGATGGTTACATACGTTGGGGCATTCGGACGCCAGCAGGAAGGCCGAGCCGGCAACCTCGGGTCTGGACTGCCAGGCAGTGCATTGGACCTTGGCGACAAGGCCACGATGATCTCGCAGTTCATGCGGGGACAGGGGCTCATCGGGGCAGGCAGAGCGTTCTCTGGGCACCTTGACTGGATGCACATGCTCGAGAATAGATTTCTCCTGGTCGATCAAGATGTGTCCGTATCCTAGCTGCCTCACTCGTTTCCAGTGTACTCGGCGTCACGTTCTTGCCATTTTCCGAAGTGGAAGCGGGCGGTCAGCGATTCTTTCAGCTCGGCTTCATAGGCTGGCTCACTCCCCAAAGATGAGGTCATCGACCTCGATGGCCACTAGAGCTTGGAAGGCCCCGTCCGAGCGATACTTCTTCCGAACACAGGGATCGAGCGAACTGCGCCTCATAAACCTAAGAAATGCAGGTGCGAGGTGAGGGTCTGGTGCCAACGAATATCGGGGCACCGCTGAGTCCGTGGACAGGGGCCACGAGCTCGAAGAGGTTTCCACGAGGGAGCCCTGGCCCATCACGCGTTTCGCAATACACCTTTCCGCTCGGGCGGGACAGGGGATCGGTCTGACAGAACGCCTTCTTGGCGTTTGCAAGCAACAAACGGCAACGCTTCCCAGCCATCACCTGCAGGGCCACGCGTATGGAGTCCTCCTGAGGAGTGGAAGCGTAGACCTGAAGGGACTCGGCGTCGGGGTTGCCGTTTCCTCGCATGCACCACCTCGACTTGGGAATCGGAACGGCGTCGGTCCCCTCTTGGGGCTTCACCGCCTCACCATGCTTGAGAAAGAATCCTGGAATCTTGGAGGGCAAGTGTTGCCTCACATGGTTCGCGAGCTCAGGGGGGAGAACGCGAACGGCCAAGGAGTCAGGATGGTCTCCCACTCTTTGGCATCGGATGTGTGGAAGTTGTCACGAGGAGGGGGAGGAGGAGGAGGAGGAGGAGGAGGAGGAGGAGGAGGAGGAGACGCCAGCGCTGGTCCATGCAGAGGTGTGAGTGCGCAATCCCCGCGGTAACAGTTTCCGATGAGATCCCTCGCTCGGGATATGCTAAACTTGCGCGAGCGGTTGTCCAAGAGCCAGCGTCCCGATTCCCGCGGGCCTCCCAGGATGAGGGTATGGATGTGGGGGGGAAGGGTGGCCTGATGGGGACTATGAGGGATGAGTTAAATACTCGGGATCACTTGAAACAGGACTGCGGAACAGAGGATAAGACGGTTGAGTCGGTGTGGGTGGTGAAACGGGCTGGAGTGGAGTGGCGTAGGGTGGGAACGAATGGTGCGGTGTGAGGTGGGTTGGAACCGAGTGGCGGGGAGTGTTTTGATCGGCGCGTGCCTACCCGAATGTCAGCGTCAGGCATCAGACCACGTAGTAAAGTATGAATTCTGGAAAGCCGCAAGAGACGCCAGCACGCCAATCATCTTCTGTCCTTTCTCGAGTCGGTCGCGAACGATGGCTACCGTCGTGCTAAAACTACCAAGCAGCTGAGTTTCTGAGTTGCTAGACTCTGCGCACCGATCCTGCGTTGCCGCAGCCACGCTGCTGCTGTGGCGCACGCAGCCCTCAGTCGCAGCACAACCGAACGTTCGCCGAACTCCCTCCTCCCTCGCATCCATAGCCGGGTGGGCTCTAGCCAGTCTCGCCCAGAAGAAGAGGTGCATTGTGATTGCATGTCTGGGCATTTTGTTTGCTCACAGCCGGATCATACGGTGGGGGCGTTCGTTGAGGAACATGCCCAGGAGGCTTCAGACCTTGAAGGGTTTCTTATCTGATGAGGGCGGCGGTGATATCCATGGCCAAGCCTCGATTGTAGTTCCACCAGCCTCCAGACCCTGGATTCCTTGTCGAAGGCTTCCTTATCCGATGCCGCCACCGTATGCATCGCTTGTTGGAGACCACAGTTCTCTCAGTGAGGTCGAGCAGGGGCGAAGGCTGGATGTCATTCTTCGGACCCTGCTCGTGATTAGTCAGAGCTTTGACATCGCGGTTTTCGTAGATGCTCGGAGAGATCAAGGATATATTGTGCTTTGCCACGGCGCAGCGGAGACCACATGAAAGAATCGGTTGACGTGTGTTCCAGATAGCGCCCAGCTTACTCCAGATACAGCGATCTGACTGAGGTACGGTTCTTGCCGGCGATGGTGTTGAGTAGCCTTTCCCGTCTGTAAGAATAACTTCCAAGTATTCGAACACGCGCATTTGCAAATCCACCATTGGCATTCAGATGAGAGGGGCGCCTGGGGGTGGGTGGCGGGGGCGGGAAGGTGGCCAGGGGGGAAGGGTAGGTGCCATGGAAAGTGGTACCCGAAATATTGATTGTGTAATGTCTAGTGGCCTGGATGCCTGGATGCCTATCGGGGGCCTCTTGGAGGGCCCTTGGGGGCTCTTGGGGCATCTTGGCGGACCCTTGGAGCCTCTTGGAGGCCCATTGCGGCCTCTCGGGGCCTTTTGGGGGCGCCGCGGGGGCATCTGAAGAGATCTTTGGGCCATCTTGGGGCGGAGGGCTCGAACCCAGAAAGTTTGGCTCGGGGGCCTTTCGACGAGCACTGCAATGTTCAATACGTACACGGGACTCAAATGGCTTTCGTGGGAAGCTAGATCACAGGGACCTAGTCAACAAAGATACATGCGTGTTAGGATCGATGCGTCGGGTGGGTACACTTGGTTCGCACGGGACGAGAAATGAAGGAAGCATCAAGGGTCATACACCCACCAAACGCTACAAGCGCGGCGGTGGATCTTCGGTTACGAACGGTTTGAGCCGAATCAGGTTCGACGATGTGGAGGTTTCAAAGATATGCTATGTCAATATTATCGCAGCGGTAGTTCTTTTCAAGACTAGGGAATACAATCCTCAAAAGCGCCATATGCAGCGTACTAGAGCGTCTTCACAGTATTGATCGCAGCAAGCCGATGAATACAATGGCAGAGATCCGTGCGTATGTCAGAAATGTGACGGGGCCGTCTACGTTCACAGACGGCGTATTGCACAGTTCGTTCACCGGTTTGCCATCGACGGTTTCAATCCAGAGCGAGGTAAGGATTGAGTGTAAATGCAGGTGTTTTCATGCAAAGTTTGACGAACGAGAAATTGGGACATCTTCACCAGCAAGCCCGCATCTCTTCATACAGCACAGAGGCAACATAACACCACCGTGCCTGACATAGCAGCATTCGGGCGTGGTCGGGGGCACAGTGCCTCACCGCCCTGCTCCAAGTCTGAGCCTGCCATCTGGTCGAAGCACCACCTCCGTGGCACGTGGCTGAAGTGCTCTGCATCGCTTTGGGTGCCTTGCCAGTGGCGTGTGATCCGGCGGCGCCCTGACGGGGGCACCGGCTGGGCAGGAGGCCCTTTGGTGGGCCGTGCGGCAGGCGGCGGCCGCTCGCTCGCTCGTCCCTTCAGAAGCTCAGACCCCCGACGTCTCGAAGATGTCAAGACAGAGGTCTTGCAGTCGTCACCTCCAGGCCTCGCCCTCCCCCTCACGATCGCGGCTCGCTCTCTTCGCGAGCCCGCCCTCCTCCCCCGACTGTGGGGCAATGTCCGCTGTAGAAGAAGGCGGAGGGGAGGAAGGAGCCAACGGTGGACTCCGGGAGACACAAGGAAAAGGAGGAGCCCAGACATGCTACGGTCCGAGTGGATGGGCTCGGAGGACCGCCGATGCGGCTCGATGTGGAGCGCGATGCTCTCCACGCCAGCGGCGCCGATGCACCGCCGACGTCGCCCATGCATCGCCAATGCATCCGACCCCGGTGCAGGGGCCTCCGGCATCGTCACCGCGGCCTTTGGCCAACGCTGCCGGGGAGCGCGTACTTTGAAACCAAAAAATTTAACGCCTGCGGTCTTGCCCGTTCCCCCTCCTCGCTCCAGCCTCGAGTCCTCGCCCCGCCCCCTGAGAGCAGAAGACCGTCCAAGAGCAAGGCTGCGACGCGACCTCGGCCCTCTTCGGGGCCTCCGGAGGTCTCTGGGGACCCCCGCGGTGATTGCCGGAGACTTTCGAGGGGGTAGAAGGAGATGGAGAAGGGAAAGGACGTCCACAACTCCAGGAAGCGCCAGCACAGATTCTGAGGGCGCTGGGATCAGCGAACGGTCCGCTTCCGTACAGAATCGCGCGCCGCCAAATCGGGCGGCTTCGGCGCCATGTTTCGGGGGAGACCCTCCTTGATCGGTGGATCGCGCAGCCACGCACCAGATTCATGGATCCCTAAGCCATGTTGGCGTATGCCCGACAGGAGAAGAATAATGCGTGTTGAAGAGAGAAGCAGAAAAGAGAAAAGAAGCGAATAGAAGAGAAGAGAAGAGAAGATAGTGGAAGAGACGAGAAGAGAAGAGAATAGAAGAGAAGGCAAGAGAAGGGAAGAGAAGAGAGGGGAAGCGGAGAGGAGAGGAGAGGAGAGGAGAGGATGTTGATGATGATAATAGAGCGGGCTCGGTTTGCGGCTGGGGCTGAGAGATTCTCACGAATGTTGGACGCAGGTTTTCAGACAGCTCTGCGGCGTCACATTTTCCGCAGTCTCTCTGGGTCAAGCGTACGCAGCCACATTCCCAGGCCTCCGTTCTCGCGGTGCTCTGTGCACTCTCGAACCTCTACCAGGTTGGGCTGCGATCGGCCCCGCAGGCGGAGCCGAGCCGCCCCGTCAAGCTTGGCGAGCCGGCGGGCGCCGCTGCTGCTGCCTTGGGGGCCGCGGACGCGGCGGAGCGGGCGGAGGCCGCCTCGGGCGAGGCCGGCGCCGCGTGCGAGAAGGCGGGCGCCCGCCTCGACCTGCTCGAGGCCCGCGTCGCGGAGTGCACCGAGGTGCTCAGGGCGCGGGCGGCCGCTCCTGAGCCTCCGCCACCGCCGCCCACCGAGCCCACGGCGGCTGCCTGGGCCGCGATCTCGGCGGGTTTCTCCGCGCTCCTGGGCAGCTTGTTGCTGGAGCTGTTGAAGACGGGGGCGGCTTGCTGCCTCGTGCCCGTGCCCTGCCCGAGCAGGCGGCGCGATGGCGATGGCCCTGCAGCTGCTGGGCGCAGGCCGGGAGTCGTACTTCACCCAGGACGGCCAGCCCGTCGCGGCGGCGGAGTGGTGCGGTAAGCTGCTCTCGGGCCTCCACGCTGCGATCTTCTTGTCGGGCGACCCTGACTATTGGCACGAGCGGATCCTGTTGTGGCCTGCCAGTGCTGACCTGCCCCCTCGGAGATGGTTCGTGGCCACGCCCGACGGCGACGTGTACGCCGAGCCGATCAGGGCGGGCATGGGCTGGGGTTCTCGCGTCGTCATTTTGGACTCCTCGGCCAGCAATGCGGTCATCCCTGCGGGAACGCGGTATGCCTTCGAGCCGTTGCCGAGCGATGGCGACCTCGCTCAGTACGTCACCGAGGCCATAGAGGAGGCAGCGCTGGACGGGTTTCGCATCGCCTCCCAGGACGAGCTAAAGTACCTTCGACGTGACGGACAGGAGGTGCTGCTGGGGGACCTGGTGCCACCCCCGCCCCCGTTGCAGGCGGCCGACCTCTTGGCGGATGTGCCTCCGAGTGATCACGGGGTCCCACCTGCCTTAGGAGACACGGCTCAGCCTGTGCAAGGGACGGGCACGCCACGCGGCCGCCACGTGCCCGAGCATGGGCGCGTCTGGGTCAGCCTCGAGACGGTGCCTGGCCAGATCGCCCGCGATGACGAGGTGAAGCTCAGCGAGTCCGCCTTGATCGATGACGACCGCGCCATCCATGTCCTGCCCAGCGGTAAGCGCATTGCCGCGCGGTTGGCCGACCTTCCCGTGGAGCCGCTGCTTAACGAGTCGGAGTTGGGAGATGCCAGAACGCTCGGGCCGTTGCGCTACGACTCCCATGGGCAGCGCCATCTGGACTATCGCACGGGTGTTTTGGAGCTCCGCGAGGAGGCCTTGGACGCGTTCCCGCTGAAGGGTGAGCGATCGTTCTCGTGGCTCCAGCGGCACATCACCGAGCACGGCGGCACGCCCGACGGCCGGCGCACCAAGTACCTCACGGAGGAGTCTCTGCAGCCCGACAACACGGCGGGCCACCTCCACGACTTGCCGGGGCTTTCCATGTTCTGGAGCGCGGTGTACGACCAGGTAGACGGGTCCAACTTGGCATGCATGGAGGTGGTCGCCAGATGCTACCAACTAGTGGGGGAGGCGAAGGGCCCCATGCGTACCGAGGGCCTTGAGTACTACACCGGGCGCGACCAGGGCGGCGCCACTCGGCGCGGCATCGCCGCGGCGCCAGGGCTGGCGCGCCACGCGACCGATACGTTGTCAAAGGAGGTGGAGATCGCCAAGCAGCGCCGCAAGTTCAGGGGGGAGCAGGCGGCGAAACGCGGCGAGGGCAGCCACAACAACAGCAAGCACAAGGGCAAGGACAAGGACAAGCCGAACAAGGATAGTTCGCCAACGGGGTGAACTTCACGGGGGCCACGCGCGGCGAGCGCGCGCCCGATCCGGAGAGCCACTCAATTCATCCTGCGGCGGCCCCTCGTGCTGGAGATGGCGCATTCCCAATCAACTTTTTCTGCGACCCTGGCATGATCCCCGCTGGTCGCCGCAATGGATTATCTGCATGCATTTTGAAACGCTCCAAGGAGACGATCGAGGCGTTGAACTTGATGGCCGGCTACCCGACCAGCGAGTCCGTCACCTCGGACATTTCCCCTTGGCACCAGGCACTGTGTGAGCGAGTGGTACAGCTACACGCTGAGCACCGCCCGCCTACTTCGGCGTCGTCTCGGACGGATTGCGGGGAGCTGCTGGGACAACCCCTCCTTGGCTACACTGGGGAGGTTACGCCGCTACGATCCTATGCGCGACAGTTGGTCTCTTGGCCTGACGTCGGCAACCGACCTGGGTGGCTGGCAGACAGGCTCACCGCTCGGGACCTGTCTATTCTCTTGGATCGTGACCACTCGCTCGTGCTGCCGCAGTCCGAGCTTGAGGAGGTGATCCAGGCCGAGCAGCGGCCTCCTACTCTATATGGATCCTGTTTTGAAAAAATCACGCAAATGCTTACCATGAGTTCGTTCGATATGGACTAGCGCGAGGCTGCTTCCGTGTCGGCCGTCATCGGCCTGAAGACGTCACCGTCTTCTTCGTCGCAAAGAAGGACGGCGGCCTGAGGCTGGTACTGGACTGTCGCCGATCTAACCAGAGGTTCACCAAGCCCGACCCAGGCGCGCTCTTCAGCGGGGCCGCCTTTGGCAAATTCGAGGCGGAGGCTGGCCAGACAGCCTGGTACGGGGGGCTGGACGTCAAGAGCGCCTTCTACCAGCACCGCCCGCCGTCCTACCCGTGCGACTACTTCTGCTTGCCGCGGGCGCGGGCTGGCGCTGTGGGAGTGACACACGTGCTGGGGCGACCCGTCGAGCCGTGGGACGTTGTGCACCCGCAGATGTCCGCGGTGCCAATGGGCTGGTCGCGGGGGCTTCACATGGCACAGAGGGCCCACGAGTACTCGCTGGACGACCACCCCCTCTTCACGACCTGTCCGAGGGCTGTCGACTTCCGACCGCCCCCCTCGGTGCAGGATGGGCCAGCCCACTCGCTGCACGTCGATAACGCGCTGCTGGTAGGCACCAATGAGGCGGAAGTCACCTCGAGGAGACGCCAGGCCTCTGCCGCCGTCGCCCGGCAGGAACTCGCAGTGCATTGCGAGGAGGACGCCACGCAGGATATGGACATGCTGGGCGCCAGGCTAACGGGCTCGCCCCCCACCGTGCAGCTGTCAGAGAAGCGCTTCTGGAAGCCGTACTTCGGAATCCAGTGCCTGGTCGAGGTGAGACGTCGGGCTACTAGCAGCGAGCTTGAGCACCTCATTGGCCATTGCACCTTCTGCGCGCTGGTCCGGCGCGAGGCCCTTGCTAGCTTCTGCGCCGTGTACGCTTTCATCCGCGCAGGTTTTGTCGAGTGGGAGCCTCTGTGGGACTCGGTGTGCCGTGAGCTGAGAATCTCCCAGGGCATCCTCGTCCTCCTGTTTCGTCGTCTGGATGCCGAGTGGTTCCAAACAGTGATAGCCACCGACGCGTGCGAGACGGGTCTCGCGTCCGTCACCGCCGACATGCCTATCGATTTCGCCGAGCGAGCGGGGAGGTGGCAGGAGAGGCGGCGACATCGACATACTCGATCTGATGATGGGACTTACCGAGCGAGAGGCGCGGAGGAGCTGAGGGCGAGGACGGGGACGTGCGATCGATCGACGACATGCGAAAGGCCGGCGAGGTGGATCCGAGCTTCCCCGAGGTCTCTCCCCAGTATGTTAGGGCTGCCAAGTGGGTCTTCCAGCATCACAGGCTCACGAGGGACCCCGAGGCCATTCATCGAAAGGAAGCCCGAGGAGTAGCCGAGGCAATTCGTGTACATCTGTCTGACCCACAACGGTGGGGTAAACGGGTGCGTCTCTTGGGCGACGACCTGGGCCTTTCTCTCGCCTCGTCGAAGGGTCGGGCTCGAGACGCGCGACTTCTCAATATTATGCGCCGCTAGTCCGCCCTGCTGCTTCTAACAGGCACAGTCGTGTGCCACCGATGGCTACCATCTGAGCTGAACCCAGCGGATGAGCTCGGCCGCTGGGAGCGCAAGTCTGGCAATCCGCTGCCGGTCGCGCTCGCCACGCCTGGCCTCGCACCCCCCGCGCCTAGGCCAGCGCCAGGCGCTTGCGAGGGCCGCGACGCCGGCGCTGGACGCGCCGCCGATTCCAAGGCGAGCGGAGGCCCCGCGCCCGACGAGGACGGGCCCTCGACGGGCGCCAGCTGCCGCGGTTGCGACACCGCGGCCCTCGCGGCCGCCCCGCGGTCCGCGCTTGCTGGGACTGCAGCCCGCGCGCAGCTCGGGCACGCCAGGAGCTCCGCTGCTGGCTGCGGCCAAGCAGACGACGCAGCTCGAGACGGCCGCGTTCGGCGCGCACGCCGCAGGGGAGCCAGGGGCGGGGTCGCTCAACGTGAACGAGAGACGGCGGGCCTATGCGCGGCAGTCCACTCACGGGCCCGCTCGCGACACTATGCACCAACTAGGGATCACCGAGCAGGCAGCCGTTCAGCAACGGACTTTCACCAGCTACAACCGGTTGCTCTCTGCCTTCATGATCTTCTGTGGCCTCACCAGTCTCATCATGCCAGCCCACTCGCTCGACGCTCGGGTCGTGCAGTTCTTCGCTCACCTGCATCTGGAAGGGAAGGCCCCCTCCACTTGCGAGAAGCTCATTGCAGCCCTCATGATGTTCACCCCAGACTATCACGTTCGGGGCCGCCTGCCGCGGTCACGGGCGGGGCGGGCGCTGCGCGGCTGGACGCGCGGGCCACTGCCTTGGGCGGTCTGCTGCGCGGTCGCGATGCAGATCTCGGTCGAGGCATCGACGGTATGCCTGCCCTACGGCTTCGAGGCAGCCCTGGCCTAGATCATGTTGGTGGACACGTATCTGCGGCCAGGAGAGGCGACGAGGCTCACTGCAGGGCAGGTATTGTGGCCCTGCGGGACCGTCTCGGACGCGGTGGTTCACATAAACCCCGACTACATGCCGAGAGCCTCCAAGACAGGCGAGATGGACGAGACCGTCACGATCTCGCGACGCTGGATCGGGGCGCGTCTTGTCGCTCTTGCCTCGAGCCGCCGCGGGCAGCCGTTGTGGCCGCTCAAGCTGTCGCAGCTGAAGGACCTGTTCGATCGCGCCGCCGCGCGAGTGGGAATCGCGCCGCTCTCGCCAGTTCTCTACATGGCCCGCCACTCGGGGGCGAGCATCGACCGCCAGGAGGGCAGGCTGAACCTCGACGAGGTCGCCAAGAGGGGACGCTGGCGCACGTTGAGCGGCGCGCGGCGCTACGAGAAACGCTGCCTGCTGCAGGAGGTCTGGAACAACCTCGGCGTGCGCCAGCGCCAGTACTGCGAGTCAGCCGCGGCCGCATTAGCCGACAAGCTCGCGGCGCACTTTTGCGGCAGCGGCAACGCAAGGCGGCGGGCCCCCTTCTGGGACTACCAGCCATTCTACATAGAGCTGTTCGCGGGGTCCGAGGTCTGGAGCAAGGGCATGCGGCGACGCCGCAGCAAGGTCTACTCCTTCGACATTCTGCAGGGGCCCGAGGGCGACCTTCTCCGTCCTGGCGTGACGCGGCGCGCCCTGAGACTCGTGCGATCGGGCCATTGCCTCGGCGTTCTGGCTGGTGTTCAATGTACAACTTGCTCGATCGCCCGTGGTGGGCACAATGCTATTCGTTCAAAGCAGTATCCTGCAGGCCTTCCTGGCCTCTGCCCCGCCTGCAGTCTCAAGTCGATGGGGGCAACAAGTTGTTTTACAACGCTGTGAGGATATTCGACCAGTGCATTAAATATCGAGTTCCTTTTCTCTGGGAGAACCCGCAGAGCAGCTACACGTGGCACATGCCAGACGCGATCCGCATCTCAGCCGTTCCACAGGTGCTAGATGTCATCACTCACTACTGCGGTTGGGGCACTGCGTGGAAGAAGCCGACTCGATTTCGGACGTTCCTGTTGCCCGATGCCGAGCGGTTACACAAGAAGCGCACAGGGCGCGGATTCTGCTCTTTCACTGGCGATGCTCACCATATGCTGCAGGGCCGAGACGACAGTGGTGTTCATTGGACTCGGCGTGCTAATCCTTACCCTCCAGCGCTCGTTCGTCAGCTCGCTGGGCTTTTTCAGGGCGCCGGCTTCGCCATGCAGTTTCCTCTCAGTGTGAATGCTTCAGGCGCGTAGAAGAGCCCGCTAAATTTGGCAGAAGGTATGTTGCAGTAGGACAGGTCTCCCAAAGTTGGTAGTCAGATTGATGCTCGTGCGCGTCGATCGACTCTCCCGAGCCTTCGGTTCAGAGGTCATTTTTCTCACGGAAGTGTTGCGGTTCATCTCGTGTTGTTCAGAAAGAGATTCGGAGTAGAAGCAGCTAGTAAAGCGGGCTCGGTTTGCAGCTGGGGCTGAGAGATTCTCACGGATGTTGGACGCAGGTTTTCAGACAACTTTGCGGCGTCACATTTTCCGCAGTCTCTCTGGGTCCTCCGCCTCCCCTCCTCCTCCTCTCTGCGGGCACAGCGTATATGTGCACCGGCCGTCGTGGTAGTCAGATTGATGCTCGCGCGCGTCGTTCGACTCTCCCGAGCCGTCGGTTCAGAGGTCATTTGTTCTCGCAGAAGTGTTGCGTTTCATCTCGTGCTGTTCAGAAAGAGTCTCGGAGTAGAAGCAGCTGGTTATGATGATGTTGGCGTTGATGGTGCTATGATGCGTTCGCTGCTGTTGGTGCTAATGATGATGGTGCTGATGTTGCTGATGTTGGTGATGATGATGCCCATGCTAATAATAATGCGGATGGTGGTGATGATAATGGTGGTGGTGATGATGATGGTGTTGATGATGATGATGACGGTGGTTGTGGTGATGATGTTGTTGATGATGATGACGAACAATAATAAATTGGTAATGGTGGTGACGAAGAATAAGGCAATGTTGATGATGTGAATGATGATTATGATGATGGTGGTGGTGATGATAATGGTGGTGATGCGAATGCAAATGATGATGAATAAGATGAGGACGCTGATGATAATGATGGTGATGGCGATGGTGATGGTGGTGGTGATAAGGATGATGACGACGAAGATGGTGTTGATTATAATGACGATGGTGATGATGGTGATGATGCTAATGATGATGATGCTGCTGGTGTTGATGATGGTGACGATGATGATGATGATGATGATGATGTTGATGGTGATGGTGCTGGTGGTGGTGGTGGTGGTGTTGAGAAGGAGGGGGAGGAGGAGGAGGAGGAGGAGGAGGAGGAGGAGGACAGGGACGGGACCGAAGAGGAGGAGGAAGAGCAGGAGGAAAACGATGATAAGGAGGAGGAGGAGGAAAGTGATGAGGAGGAGCAAGCAGAAGAAACAGGAGGAGGCGCGCTGCTTGCGCCTCTGTCCCTACCGAACGCGCGCGCGCGCGCGCGCACTCGCGCTCGCGCTCGGGGCGAGGCAACCCGCGGCGCCGCTTTGCAGCGGGAGTGCTTCGAGGGCGGCTACGGCCGCAGCGTGGAGGCCCGTTCGGGGGGGGAGGGGGGGGAGGAGGAGGAGGAGGAGGAGGAGGAGGAGGAGGAGGAGGAGGAGGAGGAGGAGGAGGAGGAGGAGGAGGAGGAGGAGGAGGAGGAGGAGGGAGGGGAGGGGTGGAGGAGGAGGGAGGGATGGAGGGAGAGGGAGGAGGAGGAGGAAGAGGAGGACGACGAGGAGGAGGAGGAGGAGGAGGAGGAGGAGAACCAGAGTAAACCCCAGATGCGTCAACGATGTCGCGCTGCACTCTCACCCCGAGTCCCCTTCTCATCTGTTCCCACAAGATTGTTTTTCCCTTTTTAAGAGCCCCCCCCATTGAAAGACCAGCACCTTTGTGGGCCTGTCATGCAGGCGACAACCCCAGTCTGAAAACGTGTCAAGCTGCCTTGTACCCTTCCAGCGAGTAATAAGGAACGCGCGAAGGCATAGTCATACAGTTCAACGAGGTGTCGAGCGAGATCCCCGTTTTGAAAGGGACCGCCCCCACCTGTGCAACTCTTGCACAAGCATCCACGTCTGGCCAGGACCGTCGAGGAAGTTTCAAGCGAAAGCCCCATGTTGAAAGGACCACCCGCCCTCCATCCGTGCAGCTGTACCATATGTTCGAGTGTGTGCGGCTTGTGAATTTGAGGAAGTATCCTTCGAACGCTCGATTCTGAAAAGAAGCCGCCCTGTATCCATGCAGCTGCTGTGTCTCCCCAATTTCCTGGAGTGCACACTTGACGAAGTCTCCAGCGAAAGCCAAAGATTGAGAAGAAGCCTCCCACAATCCCCACAAGTGCTCCAAGTTTGTACGACGCATGTGCGCGGCGCTGAGGCGAGAGCAACAGTCTGAACCCTCCCATCCTCTCAAGTGCTGCAAACCTTGAACATCGAATGTACGCGGCGGTCAGGCGAGAGCCATGTGTTGAAAACCACCCGCCCTCCATGTTCGAAACTGCTGCAAGTTTTGAAGACGAATGTGCGCGGCGAAAAGGCGTGACCACATGTTGAAAACCACCCAGCCATTTTTGAAATTGTCGCAAATTTCAAGCTTCAGGATAAACGGCAAGGGAGCCTGAGGCGAAACGCCCGGACTACCTACCGAAACGTTCGGGGGTGTGACAGGGAGGAGTAGACATATACCTGGGGCAAGAAGAACAACCACCAGGCCCCCATGCCGGTGGCAGGGATCTTGAGCCCCTCCAAGACGGGCCAGGAGGCCTCCAAAAAACCCCACGATGGCCTAAGAGGGATGCGAATCACCGAAGAACCGTTCCAAGACGCCCAACATGGCCCCAAGACGTCCCAAGAGACTGGCCAAGATGCCCCGAGAAGCTTCCAAGGGCAGTCCCAAGAGCGCCCCAAAACACCAAAATTGCTCCGTTTCTTTGTATGAAACGTAAATTCTCAGCATACACGACTTTTCGCCCAAGACCGCCCCAAGGCAGCACAAGATGCCCCCAAGAGCGCCCTAAGACAGCCCAGAAGAGCCCCAAGACGGCCCAAGAGTCGCCCAAGACGACCCCCAAAGTGGCCAAAGAGCGGCAGTCCGAACCAACAATCCGAGCTTTCCGCCCACGATGCTCCCAGGAGCCCCCAAGAGACGGAGGCCCAAAGAGACCCCTATGACGCCCCAAGAGGCAAGAAAAAATGACGCCCAAAAGGCTTCAACATTGTCTCCAAAGTGCGTTTTGGGCCGTTTGGGAGTGTCGTGCAGCTGTTTGGCTCTTCTACTAAAGCCGTCTCGGGAGCCTCTCGGGGCCGCTTTGGGACTCTCTTGGGGTCTTCTTGGGCCGTGTTGGGTTCTTCTTGACGATGATGAAGCGGAGAGGGAAGCGCAGAGGTCATGGGAAGGGTGAGGCAGGAGAAGCAAAAGTAAGAGGGCGAGGGAGAGATGAGACACGAGGATGCCATAATGTGGACGAGGGTTGAGGAAGCCACAGGAAGCAGAAGAAGGCAAGAAGAAACAAGACGGAAAACAATAGCCGCGAAAAGGTGTGAGGACTGGAGGAATGCAGGGCAGGAGGCGTGTGAGGAGTCAAGCATGTGTCCAGCTTGCGTGTCCAAACGCCTGAAGCTTCCTAGGAGCAGCGCGCGCGCGGAGCGCGCGCGAGTGTTTCTAGTGGTATACTTACACATATAACGGCGCACCAGGCTCGGGTGCCGAGGGCCGGAACCCCGACCGCAAATGTGGGCCCCGGGGCCCGAGCCCGCCTCTGGGAGTACTGAAATCGCCCCAGGGAGACCTCAGACAGCAATCCCGGCGGCCCCAGACGGTCTCGAGACACCCCCAGGACGCCGTCCAGGGGTCTTTGTCGACGCAAGATGCGTTTTACACTGCCCCGGAGGCCCCCAAGACGCACCAAGAGGCCTTTCAGATGCCGCCCAAGAGCGCCCCGAGAGGGCAAAATCGTTGATTGTTTCATTTGTTTCGTCAATGTTTTTTGCATTCTCGCTGTTTCGTGTTTCTGGCGCTAAAGCACCGCCCAAGAGGCTCCCAAAACCGTTCCAAGACGGCCTAAGAGGGCCCCAAGACGGCCCAAGAGAGCCCCGAGACGGCCCCAGAGCCGCCCAAGACGGCGCAAGAGGGACCCAAGAAGGCCCCAAGAGGGGCCCAAGAGAGGGAATGCGAACTGAAAATTTCAAGCTCTCCACCCCAAGAGGCCCCAAGAGGCCCCAGGAAACCCCCAAGAGGCCCATGAGAGGCCCCAAAAGGCCCCCAAGAAGCCCAAAAAAGGCTCCAAGAGGCCCCAAGACGGCACCCAAAAGGCTTCAAAACTCTTTCTAAGAGGCCCCCGAAGACATGCCAAGAAGGTCCCATGACGACTTCAAGAAGCAGTCCAGGATGCAGCGAGGAGGCCCCAAGAGGCCCCCAAGAGAGCCCAAGAGGCCCCCAAGAGGCCCCCAAGCGGCCTCAAGCAGCATCCAGGAGGCCGGAAAGAGGCCCTCAAGAACCCAGCGGTCCAGGCGGGGGCCGAACGAACATTTCCAGCTTTGGGCTCCAGGAAGCCCAACAGGAATCCCCACGTAACTCGCAAGACCCACCCCCCGACGCTCCCGAGACGCCCAAAAGGCTTCCCAGACAGCCCACAAAAAAATGCGATGCCCAGGGGTGAGTTTGGACAAGCATTTCGAGACGAAGCCAGCCTTGGCCACGAAGAGCTCCTCGGAGGCGGAAAGGAGGGTCATCCGGTTGCGGAAAGGGGGGTCATCTAGCTAGCTAGAATTTGAGCGCGCGCGATGGTTCTAGTACATATATATATATAGGCCGCAAACATATAATGAAAACGAGTAGAGGAGAAGGGCAGGAGGGAAGGCGGGAGGGACCACCAGCACGCCCACCACCAGCAAGCAGCACGACCATTGCTGGTACGACCACCATCTCGCGCATGTCCTCCCCCCTTGCTCCCTGAGGCTGCGCCAGGGTGGATGGCTGGGGCTGCGGTGATTTTTGCCGCCGGGCAGGGCAGTACATAAATATTGCCAAGGCTGCTTGTGAGCTCAAAGCTCCACACTTGTGGCCCAAATTCGCCCCAGACGGCGCTGCGGAGCACGACGCTTCCTCCCGCCGAGCCGATCCGATCCTCAGGCTGCGCTGGGCCAGCCTGGACCCAGAGACGGCTCCGGGCCGGCCCGCAGGCAGGTTCGAGCGAGGAGGAGGGGGCGGCGCCAGAGGTCGCGGCGCCGTGGCCTCCGTGCCTCCCTCGACGCCGCTGGGCCCGGCACCCTGGCGCCTCCTTCTTGTGCTTCGGTTATCCTACGCTCTGCCTTAGGCCAGGTCCAGCCTGGTCTGGTCCTCCTCCTCCTCCTCCTCCTCCACCTCCTCCTCATCATCATCATCCTCCTCGCTCCTCCTCCTCAATCTCCTCCTCATCATCATCATCCTCCTCCTCATCCTCCTCCTCCTCCGCGTCCTCCTCCTCCTCCTCAGCTCTGCTCTTCCCTCGAGCCGCGCATCAAAGTTCATTCTTGCCTAGGGTCACGCTTGAGTGCAGCCGACCCTTGGCAACGCCCGTGTTCGAAAGGGTATTCCTTGCGGGCTGGGGCAGTCCCTTACGCGGAAGCGGCGGCTCCCCCGTGGCAGGCCGCCGCGCCGCCTGCACCCTCCCCCAGGCCGCCCCCTCACGGCAGCATCCCTACTCTGGATAGGTTATTTATCAAGTGGGGGGGTGATTGTCCTTCCCCGGGTGGGGGAGTTCTGACTAAGCTTGTCCAATGCCGCCCCCCTCCATCCTCCTCCCCCTCCCCATCCTTCTCCTCTTCCTCCAACCCCCGCTCCACCCATTCCGACAGCACGTGCCCAACCCCCTCAGCGGATCCATGGGGGGGCCGATTGTTGTCCCATCTAAAGTATTTGCGTTCAGGCAAAAGCTGGTGGGACGCCACTTCGTGGCTCCCCTGGACAGCTTCGCTAACAACCCAGTACCCGTCGGTCGTTGAAAGTAGGTGTTGCTGGATGCCCAAATCCCAGTCTACTTTAGCCGCCTTCCTACTTCAAGGGTCGAACGACTTCCCCTCTTCCCTCCACTTCCAGCGCCTTCCTACCTTGGTTATACCGACTTCTTCCAGCCGACGTGCAGCACCGTGGCCGCATCACCCGTAGCACCCCCACCCCCACCCCCCGCGCGCGGCTTTGCGGAGGTCCTAGGGTACGGGGGAGTCGCGCTCACGTCCTTCGAGGAGCCGCCCTGCCCCTGCGCGCGCGCGCGAGCGGCTGCCGCGGGCTGCTCTCGGAGACCTCAGGAGGGCCTCGGGCCTCAGGGGGGTCGACTAGAGAATGAATCCATCCCAAAACTATGGAAAAACAGCGCAGAACGCTCCGCAAATCGACGGAACAGTCTACGTGCGTTTCGCACATTCGGCGGGAAAAAATAATCGCGGGGTAAATCAACTCTGTAGTCAATCCCCTACTCGAAGAAGGAAAATCTGCACAGGGCGATGAGAGAACGGTTGATCTCCGGCTCAAGGGGCAACGATAGGGGGGGATAGGTATAGGGGGGTGCATCGACACCCAATCGCCCAGTCATCGCCGATAGCGGTCTGATAGCCCCACCCCGCCCCATAACACGCAGATTCGCCATCGGGGGGCTATCGCCGATCTATCGGCAATGTATCGCCGATTCCAGGTCGATGTTCCCCCCCTATGCCTGCCAGCCCCCCCCTGTCGTTGCCCCTCGAGATGGGGGTACGCCCCAGGTCTCTGACACGGCTGCGAGGGACCTCTCTTATCATGCTCTCTTTTGCGTGAAGAGGCAGCGGAAGAAGGAGTCGGAGAAGACAGGTTTGTATCAGCATGGACTGCCGAAGGTCCGCGCAGATTTCTTGGATCGGCGCTGAGCCCACCTGGCGCCTCTGGCACGCTCCGCGCGCCAGGGAGAGGAGTCTAGCGCGGACCACAGAAACCCACATGCGGTGGTGCTGGATCGAGCTCGCGCACAATCTCTTGGCATCGCTCGGACGTGTGTGCCTTTTCCCTTCGGCGAGGACCATCGAGGAGCATCCTTGATCACTTGGCGAAAAAGACACGCACGAAACCGAAAAAAACACAGCGAATGGACGTCCGGGCGATGGCCAGCATGCGGTGTTGCTGGATCGAGCTCACGCACAATCTAGGGTATGTTTGAACAGTTGTTTCTTCTTCTAGGGAGGGCCTACGGAGGTCTCTGGGAACATCCCCGCAAATTCCGGAGTCCCCCAGACGTTTCCGGATCTTGCGGCAGGTTCGTGCCGCCTCGACGCGGCGGCAATGCTTGCGCGGGCTCTCAAGGTTTCTGAGAATCGAACGAATGAATGGTTCGAGCACGATTAGCATGGGACGGTGATTTCGCTTCGAAAACTGCTTTGGTTCCCGAACACGAGCGCGTGCAGTGGCCCCGAGCATGTCCCGTTTGAGGCACTTGTCTTGGACACAGCATCTGACTCGCAGCGTGTCCTCCTCTTCCTGCTCCTCCTCGTTGTCGTTCTCTTGGTGAAGGGTGCCCGCATTTCGAACTTGCGCTGATTCTGACCCGGAGAGGCATTTTCGACTGGTAGGAGAGAGGGCGGGTAGGAGTGGGAGACGGCAGGGAGGGAGAAGGTGGCGAGCTGGAGGCGTGACACGAGCGGGGGAAGAGAAGAAGGGAGTGAAAAGGGAATGAAGGGGAGGAGGAGGAGGAGGAGGAGGAGGAGGAGGAGGGAGAGCAGGAGGAGGAGGAGGGGGAGATGGATGCCGATGAAGAGGAGAGCGTGAGGAGAAGATGGATGCCGAGGAGGAGGAGCATGAGGAGGAGGAGGAGGAAGAGAAGGAGGGCCTCTCCCCGCGCCCATGCCCCGCGGGGCCCCGGCGCTGGCTGTCCGAGCCGCCCCGAGGACATGTGCGCCAGCATGCGGAGCGTGGAGGACGTCCGGGCTGGCGAGGCCTTGGCCTTACGTCGGGCCGATCCCTCTACAGGAGGACTGCTCAAAAATGATTTAAAAAAATTGTCTGGCGACGATTTGTTGACTATTTTGGAGCCTTTGGGGGGCATTTCTGACCAGTCCTCATTTTTCGTCCAAAATCCGCCTGTAGGGGGGACAGGCCCGACCTAACCGTGGCCGTGGCCGCCCTTCTGCTGGGGCCGCGGCCGTGGGCCCTCGCAGAGCCGCCACGAAGCAGGCAGGAGCGGGGTCCCGAGGGCAGCGGGTCGCCCCCCGATCTCCGACGACCTGTTTTCTGCTCGAGGCTGGCGACCTGTTCCTCGGTCTCGGCCTCTGGGGCCCGTGATCCCAGACCCCCGACGCCATGTTTTGATCAGAACGTCGACTCCTGGAGGTCTCGACCCATACCCCGGGACCGGTTTCTCGTCCCGAGTCGTTTTGTGACGGCCCCGAGGCCCGGCAATGGCCCCCAGAGGCAGAGAAAAGCGAAGCGTTTCCCGTCGTGATTGTTTTCATGACCCGAGGGGGTCTGGGATCGGGCCCCGGGCCACCAGAGCGGATCCGGGACGAAAGGCCTGCCCCAGGGAAGGGGCCGGGACCTCGGGCGCCGCGCATGTGCAGAGAAGGTGCTTGGCCGGATGTTTGGGAGCGGTCTTGGCTCTGTTCCGCCGTGTTCGGGCTCATGGGGCCGTCCCAGGGTCCCAGGGCCGTCCAGAAACGTACAGCTCGGGGCAAAAAGCTGGTCCCAGGGGCCCGCCATGGGGGAGGGGCCCGCATTGCGAGTGCTTCATGCCAGCAAGGCCCACATGCGCAGCTCGCCGCACCGCCTTCCCTTGGGAAGATCTTCCTCGGACTGGGCGCCCTCTCGCCTTTTGCGGGTTCCAGATGTCCCTCTTTTCTCCCGCCCTCCCTCCCTCCTCCTCCGTCTTCCTGCAGCCTGCCTCTTGCTCTTGCTCTTCCTCGTCGTCTTCCTCTTCCCCCCCCCGCGTAGGACTTGGGAGGAGGATGGAGAAAGGCGGAAAATAGGGAGGAGGGTGGAGGACGAGCAGAGGCGAAGGGAGGAGGAGGAGGAGGAGGAGGAGGAGGAGGAGGAGGAGGAGGAGGAGGAGGAGAGAGAGGAGGGGGAGCGAGAAGGAGGAGGAGGAGGAGGAGGAGGAGGAGAGAGGGGGAGGGGCGGGGCGGAGGAGGGAGAGGAGGAGAGGGCGAAGGAGGAGGAGGAGGAGAGGAGGAAGGAGGAGATGGAGGGGAGGGGAGGGAGGATGGGTAGGAAAGGAGGAGAGGAGGATGAGGAGAGGAGGAGGAGGAGGGAGGGAGTGAGGAGGATGAGGAGGGAGGTGAGGAGGAGGAGAGAGGGCGGTGGAGGAGGAAGGAGGAGGATGAGGTGAGGAGGGATGAGGAAGTCGCAGGAGGGAGAGGAAGGGGAGGAGGAGGGCGGAGGAGGAGGAGGGGGGAGGTGAAAGGGTCGGAGGATGAGGAGGGAGGAGGCGGAGGAGCGGAGAGGAGGAAGAGGAGGAGGAGGAAGGAGGAGATGAGGAGGAGGAGGGTGGAGGTAGGAGTATAGGAGGAGAAGCTGGAGGGAGGGGAGGGATGAGGAGGAGGAGGAGGAGAAGGATGATGATGAGAAGGATGCGGAGGTGAGGATGAGGTAGGGGAGGGAGGAGGGAGGCGTGAGTGCGGGGTGAGGAGAAGGTGCGATAGAGGAGGGGGAGGAAAAGAGGAGGAGGGGGGGGGGGGGGGGGCGGGGGGGGGGGGGGTGGGGGGTGGCAAGAGGGGTGGAGGAAGGAGGAGGGAGGGAGGGGGGGGGGGCGGTGGGGGAGAGGGGGGGGGAGGGGGGATGGGAGGGGGGAGTAGTGGAGTGCCAGGAGGGCGGAGGGAGGAGGAGTGAAGTGGAGGAGCAGCAGAGTGATTTCCCGGGAGGAGGGATGAGATTGAGGGGATAGGAGATGCGGGAGTGGAGGGAGGAGGGCGGAGGAGGAGGAGGAGAGGAGAGGAGGAGGAGGCGGGGAGGAGGAATAAGGAGGGAGGTATGGGAGGAGGAGGTAGGAGGAGGAGGAGGAGGAGGAGGAGGGAGGAGAAAGGGGAGGAGGACGAGGTCGAAAAATAGTCGGGGGACGATTTGCTTTACTACTTTCTTGGGCATTTTTAGGGGTATGTGTTGATTTGTTTCCCACATCCAAAGTGGGGTTCTTGTTTTCTCTGGACACCCCGCGCAGGAACAGGAACACACACACCCACTCACACTCACTCGCACTCTCTCATCATCAACCTCATCAGCATCATCGATGATGCTCTCTCACATGCTTAGTCACTCACATACTCATCATCATCATCATCATCATCATCATCACTCGCTCACGAACATCATCATCATCATCATCATCATCGGCATCGGCATCATCCTCATTCAAACATCATCATCGCCACCACCAATCACAATCAATCATCATCCTCTTCACCACTCATCTTCACCACCACTCATCATCCTCATCCTCATCATCGTTGAGTAAATTGTGAGGAAGTCTCAGGCGGGAGCCCCCTCCCTATGGGGCCCGCAGATCATGTTGGTAATCCGAGCGTGTCATCGGAACCCTGTAACTGTCGTCACTTTTGGGCTCCTCAAGCCTGAATATGGAGGAAGTCTCAGGCGGGAGCCTCGTCTGTGAGTGAACTGCGAGGAAGTCTCAGGCGGGAGCCCCCTCCTTATGGGGCCCGCAGATCATGTTGGTAATCCGAGCGGGTCATCGGAATCCTGTAACTGTCGTCACTTTTGGGCTCCTCAAGCTTGAATATGGAGGAAGTCTCAGGCGGGAGCCTCGTCTGTGAGTGAACTGCGAGGAAGTCTCAGGCGGGAGCCCCCTCCCTATGGGGCCCGCAGATCATGTTGGTAATCCGAGCGGGTCATCGGAACCATGTAACTGTCGTCACTTTTGGGCTCCTCAAGCCTGAATATGGAGCAAGTCTCAGGCGGGAGCCTCGTCTGTGAGTGAACTGCGAGGAAGTCTCAGGCGGGAGCCCCCTCCCTATGGGGCCCGCAGATCATGTTGGTAATCCGAGCGGGTCATCGGAAACCTGTAACTGTCGTCAATTTTGGGCTCCTCAAGCATGAATATGGAGGAAGTCTCAGGCGGGAGCCTCGTCTGTGAGTGAACTGCGAGGAAGTCTCAGGCGGGAGCCCCCTCCCTATTGGGCCCGCAGATCATGTTGGTAATCCGAGCGGGTCATCCAAAACCTGTAACTGTCGTCAATTTTGGGTTCTCGCGCTGCCAGAACGCAGTTCCCAGGCCACATTTTGGACGCAACAAGGAGGAGATAAGCATGGTGGCAGCCGCGCTGCACAACGCGCTGGACCTTCGCGCCTGCCACGGACGCAGTGACACGCACGACGTGCAGGAGTCGAACTACCAGCGGCCACACCACCACTTCGGGCGCGTGCCCATCGTGTTGCACCTCGGCGATTTCCTGCAGCTGAAGCCCACCGGCAGCATTGGCCTCCTGACGGACGTGAACGAGCGCCTGGACGACGACGAGTCGTACTGGTACGCGGACCCGCCGACGGTGGAGATCCAGCACGCCATCAAGGTCTTCTCTCAGATCCCCTGCGTCTTCGAGCTGAAGGCCACGAAGCGCTTCGAGCCCGGGGACCCTCTGATCACGTTCCTGGGCTGCATGCGCGAGGGCAAGCCCTTCCCACCTGAGGTCTGGTCCGCCTGGGAGAAGACGTTGGCCACGGACAACCAGGGCGTCCTGGACCCTCGGCACCAGCACGAGAACTTTCGGCTCGGCTACGGCATGGCATATACTGGGAGACGCTGGCGAGGTGGATCAACACGCGCGCTCGTCGCGACGCTCGGCGTCTGGGCGTGCCCCTCGTTTTCCTGCAGGCCGTTGACGAGTGCGGCGCGATTCAGGGCGATCCCGACGCGGGTCGGCGCCTCCTGAACGTCCCGAACATGCACAAGACGGGGGACATCCACGGCGTCTTGCCGGCCCACGTTGGCATGGAGGTGCGGTTCACGGCAGCGCAGGAAGAGCTGGAGAAGAAGTTGGGGCTCGTGCAGGAGCAACGGGCCACCATCGTGTCTTTCGAGTTCCACCACGAGGACGAGCAGCGGCACGAGGAGTGCTCGGCAGGCCAGCCCTGTCGCCCCCGCTTCCTACCGCAGGGAATCTGGCTGCAGGTGCACGGCTTCAAGGAGTCTCCGATCTACCAGGAGGTCGCCGAGGTGCTGCGACAGGGCGCCGAAGGCGCCGACGACGACGGCCAGGCCGAGGCGCGGGCGCGGAGCTTGCTGATGTTCAGGCCTAGCGAAAGGGAGTTCACATGGCAGAGCTCGGGGGCGCGCAGCGTGCGCCGCTCGGGGTTCACCCTGACGCACGCGTCCTACCTGACCTCCACGCTGTCGCAGGGCCAGACGCTGCGCAAGGGCGTCACCATCGACTGCGCGAGAGACGAGGACGCTGGCCGCACGGGCATGTCGGACGAGCAGTGGTGGCCGCACCTCTACGTCATGTTCTCCCGCGCCACGTGCATGCGGAACATGCTGATCATGCGGCCGCCGCCGCGAGAGTTCCTGGAGTGCGGGCCGCCGGCGTCCCTGCGGAAGGCGCTCCTGGAGTTCGACAAGAGAGCGGTTTTGTCCAGGGCGGAGGCGAAGCAGCTCGCGGCAGAGCTGGGCTTCGTGCTGCCTTCCGCCTGAGCGCGGCTGCGCCTCGCTCAAAGCCCGCGGGGTTGTCCCAACGGCTTGGTCTTGCGCGCCAACGGCTCGCGGGGTTGTCCCGACAGCCTGGCCCGCGGGGTTGTCCCAACGGCTGCGCGACGTGACCAGTAGAGAACGCGCCTGTGCTGGCCGTGGCGGCGACGGCGCCGAGGAACATCGACGTGCGCGCTCATGCAACAGGAAGGGGAGGAGGTGGCGGGGCGCGGAACAAACAGGGGGGCGAGGATGGGGACAACGTAAGGAGTGGAGGGGGGGCCCGCGCCAAGG